AATTACGTGTTATGCATCAGAGAGTTGGACAGTGACTAGGGATGATAGAGAATTGATGCCTTTGAGCTGTGGTGCTGGAGAAGAGTGTTGAATATACCATGGACTGCTAGGAGAACAAACAGGCTTGTCCTCGAGAAGGTGAAGCCGGAATGCTCCTTGAAGTCAAGGATTCTGAAGCTTCATCTTCATTGGGTATGTTGCAAGGAGGGACTGGTCCTTGGGGAGGGACATCATGTTTGGGAGAGTGGAGGGACGGCACAAGAGAGCTTCCTTCGATGAGATGGATTGATTTTGTGAGTGGAGTGGTGGGAATGAGTGCGTTAAGATGGCTAGGTTGGCACAGGATAGAACGGTGTTTAGTTAGAGCTCTTGTACACAGGGTCGCTATGAGTTGCAAGCGACTCCATGGCACATAACAACAACAACAACTACCATGGATGTTGACTGTGGATCCAGATATGATGACATTCTTGACAATTTTGATCTTTTTAAATCTATTGTGTTGTTGTCTACTGGCCCAGATGGGAATGTTTTCTTAATGTCAGGATGTAGTCTATATTGAAGATTGCAGTCTTTGATTTCTGCAGCAAGTGTTTCAAGTCATCTTTGCTTTCAGCAAGCAAGATTACATCATTTGCATAGTGCAGGTTGCAGATGAGTCTTCCTCCAATCCGGATGCCACATTATTTTCCGTATAGTTCAGTTTCTTTAATGTTTTCCTCAGCATACAGATTGAATAGGTATGGGGGGAAAGATATAACCCTCATACACACCTTTCCTAACTCTAAACCACACAATGTATTTATTCTGTTCAATCAACAGTTTCTTGGTCTATGTATGGGTTTCACTTGAATAAAATTAATTGTTGGGTGATTGGTGGGTTTTCTTTCTTTTTCTTTTTCTTTTTTTCTGGTAACAATCTCTATCAAGCTGACTATCCACTGGCTGGCTGGCTGTCTCTGGCAATTTGAATCTGACAGCAGCTCAGCAGGAGAAAGGTGGGCACTCTCTTCTAGTATGATTTATTGTCTTATGGAGGGTTGCTATGAGTTAAAAGCTGGACAACAGTGAAATTAAGTTTTATTGACACTTTTCCCACTTTTTTATTATATTAGTTTATTTATAAAATTTGAACACATTGTTTTTCAGACCAGATTCTTCCAATTTCTCTCACCCTGTCACACATCAAATTGTACAACCCTATGATTAATCCCCCCATCGTCATTCCTCTACTTCCACCGTCTCCCTACACAAACCCTCATCCTCTTCTTCCAGCCACCCCCCGCCCCAGCACATCCTTATTCCTCTGCTTCCACTCCTCCTCTTGGATCCTCACCCCCTCATTCTATAATAATGGTTTTATACAATATTTGTCCTTGTGGAACTGAGTTCACTCAGCATAATTCTCTCCAGTTCCTCCCAAGTTAGGAAATAATTTACAAAATCATTGCTCCTGCATGCTGCATAGTATTCCATTGCACGAATGTACAATAATTTCTCAATCCATTAGATTGTGATTGGACATTTGGGCTGTTTCCATGTTCTTATGATGATGAATAATGCTGCTATGAACATTGATGTACAAGTCTTTGTACTCAGTTTTCATTTTTTTTCAGTTTTGAGGAAGTACCAAACTGCCTTCCAGAATGTACCATTTTACAATCCCACCAACAAAGTAAAAGAGTAACTATCTCACCACATCCTCTCCAATATTTATTACTTGCTCTCCTGTTAAACTTTGTCACCACTACTGGAGTGAAATGGTACTTCATTGTGGTTTTGATTTGCATCTCTCGTATTTCCAGTGATTTGGAGCATTTCTTCATGTGTCTGTTGGCCATTCGAGTACCTTCCTCTGAAAATTCTTTCCATGTCTTTTGCCCACTGGGTTTTCCCCCCACTTTTTTGAACAAGGCACTTTATATTTAATTTTGCCCAGGCTTCCCATATCATGTAGCTCGCCTGGATCCCAGCTTTACCAACGGCGAGCCTGTCCAGGTATAATGATGTCATTTGACTATTGTGTCTCAGTTTCCTCATCTGTCAAATGGGAATAATACTTATCCTACTTTACAGAACTGATATGAAATACGTATATGACTAGTTTAAGGGTGGAGCTAGGACCTTGGAACAAATTCTCTGTATGAAGGAGCTGCCAGGAAGAATCAAATTTGTAACTATCAATAGATTGATAACGTTGATCATGGATAGAATTCTGAGCTCCACTGCTCGTCTCTTCGCAAATATCTCAGAGCTTTGAGGTGTTCACCCCGACCTCCTCTCGATGGGCCCTCCCACTCCTAACCTTTGCACCCTCTCTAATTGCCCTGATTTCATCCTGACCTCCCATCGCTATGTTTAAAGTCCACCTCTGGAAAGCACACAGATTGAGCATTCTAGATAATCTCCTTGTGAGTCCTGACTGACGTGTGTGTGTGGCTGGTGGGCTGTGGACTGGGACTTCCTGGGACATTGGCTGGAGCTTGAGAAAAGGTCTCAGGACTGACCTGGTCACAGGATGAAGCTGGCCACAGGCTGCTTGATTCTGTGGCTCAGCCTGGGGGGTGGCTTGGCCCAAAGTGACACCCCCCGCCCTGACACAGAGGAATCCTATACGGACTGGGGCCTTCGGCACCTACGGGGCAGCTTTGAATCTGTCAACAGCTACTTCGACTCTTTTCAGGAGCTGCTGGGAGGAAAGAATGGAATCTGTCAGTACAGGTGCCGCTATGGTGAGTGTACACTTTCTCTCTCTCAGAACCTATCACTGTGGTGGACCTAGGAGCAGACGAGCAGGCTACAGCCTTCTGTGTGGCTGCCAGAGTTAGCAAATAAAAGCATAGGGAACCCAACAGAATTGGAATTTCAGGTCAGTAGTGGATAATTTGCCAGTGTGTGTCTGGTGCAACCTTCAGGACATATTTACACTAATGGGTTATTCTTTGTTTATCTGTAATTCAAATTTCATTGAGCTTCCTGTGTCTTATCTGACAGACCAGGCAGTACTCAGGATTTGTTCCTTAGGGCCACTTTAATAAGTTTGTCCTGAGTCAAGTAACAGAAAAAAACCTCAGCAGCAAATGGATGTATTATGAGAGAGAGTTTAGAAGTTCCTGCGATGGAAACTGAAGCTTAATAATCAGAAAATTCTGCCAGGGGGACAAACAGCTTCCTTGGAAACTCAGTGTCCGGCAGTGGGTTCTCCTGCCCCCACCCCCAGCAGGTCAGCACCTTTGTGTCAGGTTGGTCTCCATTCAGTATCAGTTGCTGGTCTCCCAGGGGAGATTTCATTGACATGGGGCCTTCGGCAGCTACTGGAGGCCTTCTATTGGCAAGAGAGCTTTGCTGCCTCTGTTTGCAGGTCCCTGAAAAGTCCTAGTGACCCATTGGACTAGGATCAGCTAGGTGACTTAAAGAAAGATCATTTGGGGTTCCTCTTCCTCTGCTCTGCACTGCCAGTTAAGGGAAGGGGAGCAGAAGGTGGAGATCCATGCCTCAGAACCAGAGGCCCAGTGTCACTTGTCTAAAGATAGTCTCCACAGGATTAGCTGTATGGCTTCTGTTATCAAATGTTTCATCATGAAATGAAAGATGGACATTGTTATATATAAAGAGTTGAGAGATTAAGAGAGAGAGTGAGAGAGGACAGAGGAAATTAGATCCACGTAACGAACAGGTCTTTTGTTAAGTGGATCTGAGAGGGACGCCAGAGGAGCGCAGAGATCAGAATGGCATGCAGGCAAAGAGAGTATACTTTTATAGGGCTGTTAAGGAGAGTTAGAGGAGATGGAATCTGGGGGCAGGGGTCCTGTCAGTATGTGATCAAGCCCAGGGCCTTATCAGGAACTGCTCAAGCCTTGTCAAGAAGTTATCAGGCTTCCTCAAGGAATGATCAGGCCTGGGGTAACTGTGACCTTCTTCCTCCAGACGAGGTGAGTCATTTTAGCCTAGCAGGAAAACATGGTTTGGAAATAGCTTCTCTAAACACTCAATGGATAGCTTTCAACTTAGAAATAAATTAAAGAAAGCCACAGTCTTTTGGGGGTTCATCCAATAAGTCTTTCTTTTTAATCTCGGAGCATGGGACATTGCTTTCCTAGAAGCTAAGAGTGAACAGAAGATAATGGCCAATCCTAGTTCGTGAGTCAAAAGTTTTGCAGTGTAGAAGTTAAAACAACAGTAGGATAGGGAACAAAAGGGGAAGCTGCACATTCCCTGTGAACGTTTCACACAGTGAAAAGCCTGGTCTGTGCTGGACAAGCAAATCCCTGGAGGTGCAGTTAACCTGAAGATCTGTGGTTTGAACACCCAGCTCCATAGCAGAAGGATGTGACAGTTTGTTTCTGGAAATATTTATAGCCTATGTCAATGTTGTTGTTGGAACTGACCGATAGCTGACACTCTTGCAGGGGTTCCCAGGCAGTAAATTGCATAGAAGTTGGTTGTCCATCCTTCTCTGGCAGAGCAGCTGGTGAATTCAAACCATGTACCTTTGTATTGGAGGGGCAAATCCTTCCTACTAAGGATTTATAAAAAGCAGTGGATATTCCATGAGTTCATAGTCCATGAGTTGGATTCAACTCAATGATAACAAGCTTGGGTTTATGCTAAGACACTTAGAATCCCAGCTGAACTCATAAGACAATACTTGTCAGTGGTTGATTGGACAAAGGCTTTGGCATTGATCTCCAGTCACCTAGTTGCATTGATGACGACAGGAAACGTGCAACCTGGCTTTGGTTATTTATATCAATATGAGACTGATATCTGCGATTTAGCAAATAAATAACCATAAGACATTTTTAGAAAACAAGAACTAAACCCTCCGCTTCTTTTTTCGGCAGAACAGCATAAAAAGATTTCAGCAAATTTTTGACTGCAGAGTCTTCTCACTGAGCTGCGTTAATGCCAGCAACAACTTGAGGGGGATGGGAATAGTCAACAGAGAAGAGAAAGACAAATAGACCCCTTCTGTGCAAAATAGATCTCGAAAAAAAGAGGAGCTTGAAAGAAACCTAGGGGAAATAGGAATTTAAACATTGTTATCTTTGTAACAGAGTCCCTTGTGATAAAAACAGTTAAAATGTTTGCTTGTTAACTGAAAGGTTGGAGTTTTGAGTATCCTCAGAGTCCTTGGAAGGAAGCCCTGATAATGTACTCCTGAGAAACCAGCCATTGAAAAGCCAGATGCACAAGGGTTTCCAGGAATCAGATCTCTCACCAAGGCAAATATTTCATATCTGAGATCTAGTGGAGTCCCCAATCTGGAGGCTATAACAAAATAGCACAAATTATCTTTTCGGATTGGTCTTGGATAAAGGAATCTTTTCACTAAATTAAAAAGGGGGGAAAGTCAGTTAATGATTAGTTGTGTCTCTGTCCTTTTAAGTTAGCTTTGTGATCTACCTTCACTTAGAATTTGTCTTGGATCTTGCCAAAGATTATTAAAAAGTGGTAGCAGCAGAACTGTAACAGGGAACTGCCTAGTTGGATTTGAAAGAGAATGTGGAATGAAGGATGACACTGCTGATGTTAGTTGGATCTTGGCTGAAAACAGATGACACCAGAAAAATGTTTGTTTGGGTTTCATTGACTGCATTTGACATTTGACTCTGTGGATCATAACAAATTATGGATAACATAGAGAAGAATAGGAATTCAAGAACATTTAGCTGTGCTCATGTGGAAACTCTACACAAGCCAAGAGGAAGTCTTTGAACAGGGGGATAATGTATGGTTTAAAACTGGGAGGAAAGTGTGCGTTAAGATTTTACCCTTTCAACATATTTATTCAGTTCACTCTGAGAAGCTTGACTATTCTGAAGAAATGTGTGGCAATAAGATTGGAGGAAGAATCATTAACAACTTGTAATATGCAGATGATAGAACTTTGCACATTGAAAACAAAAAATCCTCAAAGCACTTATTGATGAAGATCAAAGAGTTAATTATAGATTATATCACAAGATAAAGAAACCCCAAATTTTCAAAACTGAACCAATAAGCAACATCATGATAAATAGAGGGGGAAAAAAGAATTCTATTTAACTTTATTTTACTTGAATCCATAATCAACAACCATGAAGGCAGTAGCCAAGTAATCAAAAGATTTGTTGTCAAAGATCTCCTTAAATTTCTAAAGAAGAAGGATGTAACTTTGAGGACTAAGGTGCACAGGATCCAAACCACGGACTTTCCCATCACTTCATATGTGTGCAAAAGCTGAACAATGAATAAGAAATAATGACGAATTTATGCCTTTGACTTATGGTGCTATGAATCAAAGACGTTAATTGTACCATGAACTGCCGAAAGAACAAAGCTATTTTGGAAGAAGCACAGCAAGGATGATAAGACTTTATCTCACATACTATGGACATCTCAATCTCTTCACCATCCATCCTGACGCTGCTAACAGTCAACACTTTCGGCGCCAGTAGCCAGGAAATTAAAAGGCGCACTGCCATGGGAAAGTCTGCTGTTAGAGACCTCTCCAAAGTACTGAAGAGCAATGGTGTCTTTCTGGAGACTAAGGTGCATCTGATATAGGCCATGGTCTTTGCTATCACTTGTTATGCATCAGAAAGTTGGACAGTAACTAAGGAGGATAGAAGGAGAATTGATGCCTTGGAGCTGTGGTGCTGGAGAAGAGTATTGAGGGTACCATGGACTGCTAGGAAAAAGATTTATCCTGGAGAGAGTTAAACTGGGCTGCTCCTTGGAGGCAAGGATCTTGAGACTTCGACTGACGTACTTTGGACATGTTGTAAGGAGGGACCGGTCCTTGGAGAGGGACATCATGCTTGGGTGGGTGGAGGGACAGCGCAGGAGGGGAAGACCCTCTATGAGGTGGATTGATTCAGTGACTGGGATAATTGGGATGGGTGTATCGGAGACAGTGTGATTGGCACAGGATAGAACAGTGTTTAGGGCTGTTGTACATAGGGTTGCTATGAGTCGCAAGTGACTCGACGGCACATAACATCCACCACCACCACCACCACCACCACCACCACTATGGGCATGTTATTAAAAGGAACCAGTCTCTGGAGAAGTATCTCCTCCTTGTAGTATAGAGTCAATGAGAAAAGAGGAAGACCCTATATGAGACAGACTGTCACGGAGACTACAACAATAACCTCAGACACAGAAGACTGAGGATGGCACTTCTGGGCAGTGCCCCAGGCTGTTGTACACAGGTTAGAAAGAGTCAGAAGCTACTCAATGGCACCTAGCACCTAACAACAGCAACAATGACAATGATAGGTTGAACTTTTTAAAAGTCTGTATTTTTGTGATTGCATTTACTTGAAGGATTGAAGAAAAAGGAAAATGCCATTTAGCTTAAGAACTTAGAAGTTATCTGCAGACCAATCCATGTCAGGAATGGAATCATTGGTTATTTCCTTTTTTATTATTTTATATGGTTTGCATACAAAATTCAAATACAATGTATTTCATTCATAGACCTTGTGTTTTGCACATTCCTTCATTCACTCTGTGTTTCATTAAGATGATTCCCATACATTGTGGTTTTTTCCATTTTTTATTATTAATTTCAATGAAAATTTACAGAGATTTTGGATTTCCATTCATTCATTGTTGTACTTTTCTCCCCTCCCAACCGTCCCCCCAGTACACTACCCTCTTGGAAAAGTAAAAGAAAAATTCTTTCATTGTTTTACAATCCCTTCCCCTCAGGTCCACTCCACTATGCAGAGTGACTCTGGAC